AGAGACTATTGAATTGAATTTTTTACAAGTGAAAAGGAAAGGGAAAAAAAGGAATTAGACAAAAGTTGGATGGTGATTTGGGAGAAAGTTGATAAAATACTGGTGGAACAATATAGAATTCTGAAAGAGATGACGAGCACTACCACGACAACGTTGAAGACTGCGAAGAAAACGACATCAATCTTAGCTGGACCATCGGCCTCACCGGTGTCACAGAAAACCCTAGGGGGAATGTTTGCATCAGAGAAACAACCCAGCACACCCAGTCTGCCAACAATGCAAGCTACTTTAATGTCAATCCAAGAAACAATGGTCAAAATGCAAGAGTGCATGACCAGAAACCATGAACAATCTAGGAAAGATATGGATGAGGTAAAGAAGGAAGTTAAGAACGACATCCAAAAGATTGATGAAAAAATGGATCTGATCCAAGAAATTATCCAAAGAAATGATCAAAAGATAAAAGAAATAGAATAGAATAGAATAGAATAGAATAGAATAGAATAGAATAGAAAGAATAGAATAGAATAGAATAGAATAGAATAGAATAGAATAGAATAGAATAGAATAGAATAGAATAGAATAGATTCGGGCAGGGTGACGGGGAATAGTCTTGAGAATGTTATCTGGGAAGAGTTTGACTCTGTGACCCCTGATGACGTGGACAGGATTCTGGGGAGACTTAGTGCGGCCACATGTTTACTGGACCCCTGTCCCTCCTGGTTAGTATTGGCTTCCCGGGAGGTTACACGGGGCTGGCTCCAGGGAATTATCAATGCTTTGCTGAGTGAGGGTTACTTCCCCATGGCCTTGAAAGAGGCGGTGGTGAGGCCTCTCCTCAAGAAGCCTTCCCTGGATCCGGCAGTATTAGCCAACTATCGTCCTGTCTCCAACCTTCGCTTTGTGGCGAAGGTTGTTGAGAGTGTGGCTGCACGACAGTTTCCGCAGTACCTGGAGGAAACGTCTTATCTAGATCCATTCCAGTCGGGTTTCAGGCCCGGGCACAGCACGGAAACGGCATTGGTCGCGTTGGTAGATGATCTCTGGAGGGCTCGGGACAGAGGTTGCTCCTCTGTTCTGGCCCTGTTAGACCTCTCAGCAGCTTTTGATACCATCGACCATGGTATCATGCTGCACCGGTTGGAATAGTTGGGGATGGGGGGCACCGTGCTACGATGGTTCTCCTTTCTCTCTGACCGGTCGCAGTTCATGTTGGCAGGGGGGCAGAGGTCGACCTCGAGGCCTCTCATATGTGGAGTGCCCCAGAGGTCAGTTCTCTCGCCCCTTCTGTTCAACATTTATGTGAAGCCGCTGGGTGAGATCATCCGTGGTTTTGGGGCGAAGTACTACCAGTACCTTGAAGTAATGTCCCGGTGCCTGGAGGCTGTGAGGATCTGGATGGGGAGAAACCGGCTCAAACTCAACCCTTCCAAGACTGAGTGGCTGTGGTTCCCGGCATCCCGATATAGTCAGATGACTCCATCTCTGACTATTGGGGGCGAGTCTTTGGCCCCCTCGGAGAGGGCCCACAATCTGGGTGTCCTTCTGGATACGCAGCTGTCCTTGGAGGAACATCTGATGGCTGTGGCCAGGGGGACTTTTTGTCAGGTCCGCCTGATACGCCAGTTGTGGCCCTTTCTTGATCGGGATGCCCTGCGCACAGTCACTCATGCCCTCGTCACCTCTCGCCTGGACTACTGCAATGCTCTCTACATGTGACTCCATCACTGACTATTGGGGGTGAGTCGTTGGCCCCCACAGAGAGGGCTCGCAATCTGGGAGTCCTCCTGGATAGGCAGCTGTCCTTGGAGGAACATCTGACAGCTGTAACCAGGGGGACCTTTTGTCAGGTTCGCCTGATTCGCCAGTTGCGGCCCTTTCTTGATCGGGATTCCCTGTGCACAGTCACTCATGCCCTTGTCACCTCTCGCCTTGACTACTGCAACGCTCTCTACATGGGGCTCCCCTTGAGGAGCACCCGGAGGCTCCAACTGGTCCAGAACGCAGCAGCGCGGGTAGTGACGGGAGCAGCATGGCGCTCCCATGTAACACCGCTCCTGCGCAAGCTGCACTGGCTCCCAGTGGTCTTCCGGGTGTGCTTCAAGGTGTTGGTTATCACCTTTAAAGCGCTCCAAGGCATAGGGCCTAGCTATTTTCGAGACCGCCTGCTGCACTGACGACCTCCCATCGACCCGTGCGCTCCCACAGAGAGGGCCTCCTTGGGGTGCCATCAGCCAAACAGTGCAGGCTGGTGACCCCCAGGGGGAGGGCCTTCTCTGTGGGGGCACCTACCCTCTGGAATCAATTGCCTCCAGAGATAAGGAGAATCCAAGACCTCAGTGCCTTCCGCCGTGCCCTTAAAACTTTTCTTTTCCAGCAAGCCGGGCTGGCCTAATTTTTTTAAGTGTTTTTAAGTGTTTTGTTTATTGTTTTTAATTAATGGGGCCAAATTTATATATATATATTTTAACTGTATTTTAATATTTGTACTTGATGTTTTTACTTGGCTGTTCACCGCCCTGAGTCCTCAGGGAGAAGGGCGGTATACAAATTCAAAATAAAATAAAATAAACAAATAAAATAAATGGGGCTCCCCTTGAGAGGCACCCAGAGGCTCCAACTGGTCCAGAATGCGGCCGTGCGGGTAGTGACAGGAGCAGCCTGGCGCTCCCATGTAACACCGCTCCTGCGCAAGCTGCACTGGCTCCCAGTGGTCTTCCGGGTGTGCTTCAAGGTGTTGGTTATCACCTTTAAAGCACTCCATGGCATAGGACCTAGATATCTTCGAGACCGCCTGCTGCTACCATCGGCCTCCCATCGACCTGTGCACTCCCACAGAGAGGGCCTCCTCAGGGTGCCATCAGCCAAACAATGTAGACTGGTGACCCCCAGGGGGAGGGCCTTCTCTGTGGGGGCACCCACCCTCTGGAACCAACTGCCCCCAGAGATAAGGAGAATCCAAGACCTCGGTGCCTTCCGCCGTGCCCTTAAAACCTTCTTTTTTCAGCAAGCCGGGCTGGCTTAACTTTTTTTCTTAATTTTTTTAATGTTTTAAATGGGTTTGTTATTGTTCTTAAACTACGGGGCCAAATTTATATATATTCTTTTAATACTATTTTAATGTTTGTAATTTATGTTTTTATTCGGCTGTACACCGCCCTGAGTCCTCAGGGAGAAGGGCGGTATATAAATTGGAAAATAAATAAATAAATAAATATTTGAAGGACCGTTCGAATGAAAGATATGTACTGGAATGGAGAAGATGGATTGACTATATACAAAATAAATATGGGACTAAAAAGTTGCAAATATCTTATGAATGAAATATTTAGATGATTTTTCTTTTTAGTTTGACATTTTAGTACCTATGGCGGAGTTAAAGAGTAAGGGGAAGTTAAGAGTTTATAGTTAGTTTGCTTATGTTAGATTATGTTTGTTAAATGCAATACCCTGTATTTTGCTCTGGGAAGTCGGGGGGGGGGAGAGGGAGAGGGGAAGGGGTGGGGGAAGGGGGGGAATTTGTTTGTAAAACATTTTTATTTATTTATTTATTTATTTTATATTGGATTTCTATACCGCCCTTCTCCCTGAGGACTCAGGGCGGTGTACAGCCAGATTAAAAAACATGCAGAACAAATATTAAAAACAATTAAAAGATATATAAATTTGGCCCAATTAAAACTCATTTACCAATTAAAAACGTTTAAAACATTTAAAAACAGTTAAAAATTTCATCTTAAGCCAGCCCGGCTTGTTTAAATAAATGGGTTTTAAGGGCGCGACGGAAGGCACTGAGGTCTTGGATTCTCCTTATCTCTGGGGGCAGCTGATTCCAGAGGGTAGGTGCCCCCACAGAGAAGGCTCTCCCCCTGGGGGTCACCAGCCTACATTGTCTGGCTGATGGCACCCCGAGGAGGCCCTCTCTGTGGGAGCGCACGGGTCGATGGGAGGTCGTTGGTAGCAGCAGGCGGTCTCGAAGATAGCTATTTTAAAACTTTTCAATAAAAAGAAAAGAAAAAAAAAGAATAAAAATATTTACAGACCCCTCGCATCCTGGACATAAACTGTTTCAACTCCTATCCTCAAAACAATGCGATAGAGCCCTGCACACCAGAACAATGAGACACAAGGACAGTTTTTTCTCGAACGCCATCACTCTGCTAAACAAATAATTCCCTCAACACTGTCAAACTATTTACTAAGTCTGCACTACTATTAATCTTCTCATCGTTCCCACCACCCATCTCCTCCCACTTATGACTGTATGACTGTAACTTTGTTGCTTATATCCTTACGATTTATATTAATATTGTTTCCTGATTGCTTATTTGTACCCTATGACTATCATTAAATGTTGTACCTTATGATTCTTGATGAATGTATCTTTTCTTTTATGTACACTGAGAGCATATGCACCAAGACAAATTCCTTGTGTGTCCAATCACACTTGGCCAGTGGCTAAGACGCTGAGCTTGTTGATCAAAAGGTTGGCAGTTCAGCAGTTCAAATCCCTAGTGCCGCATAACAGGGTGAGCTCCCATTACTTGTCCCAGCTTCTGCCAACCTAGCAGTTTGAACAGCATTCTGTGCGCCTTTGGCATTGAGTCATGCCAGCCACATGACCACGCAGACGTCTTCCGACAGCGCTGGCTCTTCGGCTTTGAAACAGAGATGAGCACTGCCCCCTAGAATCAGGAACGACTAGCACATATGTGCGAGGAGAACCTTTACCTTTACAGTTGTTAACCACCCAAGGTTTAAGGATTCTGGCAGGATATAAATATATAAAGATGCAAATAAATAATTATCTGATTTATTTCATGGGCTTCCTCACAGCAACAAAGATAGCTGTCCATGGCATCAGAAAAGAGAAAGGTTAAAGCTCTTCAGATGCAGAGGAGTCCCAGCTGGGCCTGCAGAGACTGCCATGAATTCCACATGAAACTCAACACCCATCATCACCTTCATGGAAATCGGGAGGAGCACAAAAGAGGACTTACCCACTACAACTTCATTCCTTGCCTCACTGCAAAATGGCTCAATGTAAGGCGATGGACAGTTACAGCGATCCCCAATAGGAACCCCTCCATTAAAACATTTGGGGGGCAGAATTTCAGTTGTAGAGGCTCCACAAAAAAAGAGAACAAAATTAGTCAAAACAAAGAAGAAATCATTTAAATCATTTAAAACATTATGCATGGTTTCTGAAACAAAAGATATAAAAACTGGGTTCTTGGTGCTCTTCCAGAGGGGTTTTCTTGCAGACATTTCATTAGAAAAATAGGTATCATCAGCATTGCTAGTAGGGAGTGGGGACACAAAAACTCCCACATCTAAGAACAAATTGATTATCAGAAAGTTCTGAATTACATCATCTTGCAAACTAAGCAAATGTTCATATACACAGGTTGACAAAGGGAAGAATCAGAAACTCTTCTCAAACTAGAGAGATCACCTGACTTCAGCCATGAGCAACTGGGGCTCCCTGATACTGGGACCCATGTGGGATTTCTAACACACAAAAATATAAAAAAGGAAATTATATAACCTCTATGACAGAGAGGAACATATGCCTGGAGGAGAAAGAGCACACAAAGGGACAGAAGTGGCCCAGCTCCCCACAGTAGGGATAACAATAATTGATGTGGGAGGAGTTGAAAGGAGAAGAGGAGAACTAGACACACCAAAAGCCAAGTGGAGGTAGATGAAGTGTATAAACAGAGGCATAAAACCAAAATCACACGAAGTATTAATACCACTTTATGAAGCCTTAATAAGGCCACACCTGGAATACTGCATCCAGTTTTGGTCACCACATTATGAAAAAGATGTCAAGAGTTTGGGAAAAAATTCAAAGAAGAGCAACTAAGGCAATTAAAGACCAGGAGACAAAATCATATGAACAATAGTTGCAGAAATTGAATCAGGCTAGTCCAAAGAAAATAAGTTATTAGCAGGATTTTAGTATTTGAGAGGCTGCCCCAAAGAAGAGGGGGTCAAACTGTTTTCCAAAGCACCAGAGGGCAGGAGAAGAAACAATGGATGGAAAAAAATCAAGGAGAGAAGCACCCTGGAATTAAGGAGAAATTCCCTAACATTGAGAACAATTAACCAGTGGAATATCTTTCTCTCAGAAGCTTGGAGGGCTTCAAAACTGGAGGTTTTAAAGAACAGAATGGACAGGCACTTGTCTGAAATGGTGTAGGGCAGGGGTGAAATGCTCCCGGTTCGGACCGGATCGCCCGATCCAATAGCGATGGTAGTGGGTGGTTCGGAGAACCAGTAGCAAAAATCCCCCCCCCATGCCCAGCTGAACCGCGTAATCATCAAAGGCTTTTTTTGTATTTATTTTTAAAAGCATTTTTTCTACAACCTCTTCTGCTGAAAAAATGCTTTTAAAAGTTAAAAAAAAGCCTCTGATGATCACGCTGCTCATCTGGGATTGTCAGAGGCTTTTAAAAGCATTTTTTCTACATCCTCTTCGGCCAAAGAGGTTGTAGAGAAAATGTTTTGAAAAGAAAAAAGAGCCTCTGATGATCAGGCAACTCAGCTGGGATTGTCAGAGGATATTAAAAGCATTTTTAAACAACTCTTCGGACAAAGAGGTTGTAGAAAAAATAGTTTTAAAAGTTGGCCACGCCCACTCAGTTAAATTCCCCCCCACCAAGCCACACCCACAGAACCGGTAGTAACAAATTTTACATTTCACCACTGGGTGTCCTGCTTGAGCAGGGACTGGATTAAGTGCAAGGTCATTTAAACCTCTATTTTGATTCACTAAATTGCTAATAGCAAAAAAAGTTGGAAGGGGCTGTTGGGAAAAATACTTGGAGGAGGCAGAAGGGAAAGAAAACAAAGAAATCCTTCAGTGGAACAGGAGTTCCAATACGATTCACATTGTACATATTAAAGACAATCTCGATACCTGTACTCAGAGTCGTGGATTGCAACATTCCCTCCTGGGATGTGTACATTGTAAATGAAGGGGAAGTGGATGAAAAGTAAATAGTACTTGGGTGCTCAATAGTCCGAGAAGGAGGACTTGGTAGCCCTGGGCTGCCAGAGGTGACCACGTGAGGGCCAACGGTTACTGAGGACGTGATGGACACTGGAGTCGTTTTGACTTGTGACTGAATGGAAGTCGCCTCCGGTGTGCTGGGACTGGATGAAGGTCTGCCAGTTGTGCTCTTGGGTCGTTGGGTTTGGGAGCTGGAAAACATAGAGGAAGGGCTGGTCTCAGGATTTGTCATGCTGGACGAGAGGCTACTCTGACCGACACTTGATGTCTCCACGCTGGGACTTAGAGTGGTGATCTCAACGTCCCCTCCTGGGATGTGGTCGTTATGGAAGAAAGGGAAGGGGATGAAACATGGCTTGTGCTTGGGTGCTCAGCAGTCGGAGAAGCAGTGCTCAGCAACTCTGAGCTTCCATTGGTGACCACTCGAGTGCCAGTGATTACTGAGGAAGTGATGGACACTGTAGTTGTTTTCCGAGTTTCAAGTGCAGAAGTGCTAGAGGCACTGGATGTTGTAGGAAGTGAGGTCTCCTGGGTTGATCTTGGTCTCTGACTGGAAGACGCAGAAAAGGTTGAGGGAGAAGAGACCACAGTCCTCTGTGACTCTTCCGAGATAGGAGCTTGAGAAGGCGTTGTGACTTGTGACTGAATGGAAGTCGCCTCCGGTGTGCTGGGACTGGATGCAGGTCTGCCAGTTGTGCTCTTGGGTCGTTGGGTTTGGGAGCTGGAAAACGTAGAGGAAGGGCTGGTCTCAGGATTTGTCATGCTGGACGAGAGGCTACTCTGACCGACACTTGATGTCTCCACGCTGGGACTTAGAGTGGTGGATCTCAAATGTCCCCTCCTGGGATGTGGTCGTTAGGGAAGAAAGGGAAGGGGATGAAACATGGCTTGTGCTTGGGTGCTCAGCAGTCGGAGAAGCAGTGCTCGGCAACTCTGAGCTTCCATTGGTGACCACTCGAGTGCCAGTGATTACTGAGGAAGTGATGGACACTGTAGTTGTTTTCCGAGTTTCAGGTGCAGAAGTGCTAGAGGCACTGAATGTCGTAGGAAATGATGTCTCCTGGGTTGATCTTGGTCTCCGACTGGAAGACACAGAAAAGGTTGAGGGAGAGAGAGACCACAGTCCTCTGTGACTCTTCTGAGGTAGGAGCTTGAGAAGGCGTTGTGACTTGTGACTGAGTGGAAGTCACTCTCTGGTGTGCTGGGACTGGATGCAGGTCTGCCAGTTGTGCTCTTGTATCGTGGGTTTGGAGCTGGAAAAGGTGGAGGAAGGGCTGGTCTCAGGATTTGTCATGCTGGACGAGAGGCTACTGACACGACACTTGATGTCTCCACGCTGGGACTTAGAGTGGTGGATCTCAATGTCCCCTCCTGGGATGTGGTCGTTAGGGAAGAAAGGGAAGGGGATGAAACATGGCTTGTGCTTGGGTGCTCAGCAGTCGGAGAAGCAGTGCTCGGCAACTCTGAGCTTCCATTGGTGACCACTCGAGTGCCAGTGATTACTGAGGAAGTGATGGACACTGTAGTTGTTTTCCGAGTTTCAAGTGCAGAAGTGCTAGAGGCACTGGATGTTGTAGGAAGTGAGGTCTCGTGGGTTGATCTTGGTCTCTGACTGGAAGACGCAGAAAAGGTTGAGGGAGAAGACACCACAGTCCTCTGTGACTCTTCCAAGGTAGGAGCTTGAGAAGGCGTTGTGACTTGTGACTGAATGGAAGTCGCCTCCGGTGTGCTGGGACTGGGATGCATTTCTCCAGTTGTGTAATCTTGGGTCGTTGGGTTTGGGAGCTGGAAAACGTAGAGGAAGGGCTGGTCTCAGGATTTGTTGTCCTGGACGAGAGACTACTGTGCACGACACTTGATGTCTCCATGCTGGGACTTAGAGTGGTGGATCTCAACGTCCCCTCCTGGGATGTGGTCGTTATGGAAGAAAGGGAAGGGGATGAAACGTGGCTTGTGCTTTGGCGCTCAGCAGTCGGAGAAGCAGTGCTCAGCAACTCTGAGCTTCCATTGGTGACCACTCGAGTGCCAGTGATTACTGAGGAAGTGATGGATACTGTAGTTGTTTTCCGAGTTTCAAGTGCAAAAGTGCTAGAGGCACTGGATGTTGTAGGAAGTGAGGTCTCCTGGGTTGATCTTGGTCTCTGACTGGAAGACGCAGAAAAGGTTGAGGGAGAAGAGACCACAGTCCTCTGTGACTCTTCTGAGGTAGGAGCTTTAGAAGGCGTTGTGACTTGTGACTGAATGGAAGTCGCCTCCGGTGTGCTGGGACTGGATGCAGGTCTGCCAGTTGTGCTCTTGGGTCGTTGGGTTTGGGAGCTGGAAAACGTAGAGGAAGGGCTGGTCTCAGGATTTGTCATGCTGGACGAGAGGCTACTCTGACCGACACTTGATGTCTCCATGCTGGGACTTAGAGTGGTGGATCTCAACGTCCCCTCCTGGGATGTGGTCGTTATGGAGGAAAGGGGAAGGGGATGAAACGTGGCTTGTGTTTTGGTGCTCAGCAGTCGGAGAAGCAGTGCTCAGCAACTCTGAGCTTCCATTGGTGACCACTCGAGTGCCAGTGATTACTGAGGAAGTGATGGATACTGTAGTTGTTTTCCGAGTTTCAGGTGCAGAAGTGCTAGAGGCACTGGATGTCATAGGAAGTGAGGTCTCCTGTGTTAATCTTGGTCTCCGACTGGAAGACACAGAAAAGGTTGAGGGAGAAGACACCACAGTCCTCTGTGACTCTTCCGAGATAGGTGCTTGAGAAGGCGTTGTGACTTGTGACTGAATGGAAGTCGCCTCCGGTGTGCTGGGACTGGATGCAGGTCTGCCAGTTGTGCTCTTGGGTCGTTGGGTTTGGGAGCTGGAAAACGTAGAGGAAGGGCTGGTCTCAGGATTTGTCATGCTGGACGAGAGGGTACTCTGACCGACACTTGATGTCTCCACGCTGGGACTTAGAGTGGTGGATCTCAATGTCCCCTCCTGGGATGTGGTCGTTATGGAAGAAAGGGAAGGGGATGAAACATGGCTTGTGCTTGGGTGCTCAGCAGTCGGAGAAGCAGTGCTCAGCAACTCTGAGCTTCCATTGGTGACCACTCGAGTGCCAGTGATTACTGAGGAAGTGATGGACACTGTAGTTGTTTTCCGAGTTTCAAGTGCAGAAGTGCTAGAGGCACTGGATGTTGTAGGAAGGAGGTCTCCTGGGTTGATCTTGGTCTCTGACTGGAAGACGCAGAAAAGGTTGAGGGAGAAGACACCACAGTCCTCTGTGACTCTTCCAAGGTAGGAGCTTGAGAAGGCGTTGTGACTTGTGACTGAATGGAAGTCGCCTCGGTGTGCTGGGACTGGATGCAGGTCTGCCAGTTGTGCTCTTGGGTCGTTGGGTTTGGGAGCTGGAAAACGTAGAGGAAGGGCTGGTCTCAGGATTTGTCATGCTGGACGAGAGGGTACTCTGACCGACACTTGATGTCTCCACGCTGGGACTTAGAGTGGTGGATCTCAATGTCCCCTCCTGGGATGTGGTCGTTATGGAAGAAAGGGAAGGGGATGAAACATGGCTTGTGCTTGGGTGCTCAGCAGTCGGAGAAGCAGTGCTCAGCAACTCTGAGCTTCCATTGGTGACCACTCGAGTGCCAGTGATTACTGAGGAAGTGATGGACACTGTAGTTGTTTTCCGAGTTTCAAGTGCAGAAGTGCTAGAGGCACTGGATGTTGTAGGAAGTGAGGTCTCCTGGGTTGATCTTGGTCTCTGACTGGAAGACGCAGAAAAGGTTGAGGGAGAAGAGACCACAGTCCTCTGTGACTCTTCCGAGATAGGAGCTTGAGAAGGCGTTGTGACTTGTGACTGAATGGAAGTCGCCTCCGGTGTGCTGGGACTGGATGCAGGTCTGCCAGTTGTGCTCTTGGGTCGTTGGGTTTGGGAGCTGGAAAACGTAGAGGAAGGGCTGGTCTCAGGATTTGTTCATCCTGGACGAGAGACTACTGTGCACGACACACTTGATGTCTCCATGCTAGGACTTAGAGTGGTGGATCTCAACGTCCCCTCCTGGGATGTGGTCGTTATGGAAGAAAGGGAAGGGGATGAAACGTGGCTTGTGTTTTGGGGCTCAGCAGTCGGAGAAGCAGTGCTCGGCAACTCTGAGCTTCCATTGGTGACCACTCGAGTGCCAGTGATTACTGAGGAAGTGATGGACACTGTAGTTGTTTTCCGAGTTTCAAGTGCAGAAGTGCTAGAGGCACTGGATGTTGTAGGAAGTGAGGTCTCCTGGGTTGATCTTGGTCTCTGACTGGAAGACGCAGAAAAGGTTGAGGGAGAAGAGACCACAGTCCTCTGTGACTCTTCTGAGGTAGGAGCTTGAGAAGGCGTTGTGACTTGTGACTGAATGGAAGTCGCCTCCGGTGTGCTGGGACTGGATGCAGGTCTGCCAGTTGTGCTCTTGGGTCGTTGGGTTTGGGAGCTGGAAAACGTAGAGGAAGGGCTGGTCTCAGGATTTGTCATGCTGGACGAGAGGCTACTCTGACCGACACTTGATGTCTCCATGCTGGGACTTAGAGTGGTGGATCTCAACGTCCCCTCCTGGGATGTGGTCGTTATGGAGAAAGGGAAGGGGATGAAACGTGGCTTGTGTTTTGGTGCTCAGCAGTCGGAGAAGCAGTGCTCAGCAACTCTGAGCTTCCATTGGTGACCACTCGAGTGCCAGTGATTACTGAGGAAGTGATGGATACTGTAGTTGTTTTCCGAGTTTCAGGTGCAGAAGTGCTAGAGGCACTGGATGTCATAGGAAGTGAGGTCTCCTGGGTTAATCTTGGTCTCCGACTGGAAGACACAGAAAAGGTTGAGGGAGAAGACACCACAGTCCTCTGTGACTCTTCCGAGATAGGAGCTTGAGAAGGCGTTGTGACTTGTGACTGAATGGAAAGTCGCCTCCGGTGTGCTGGGACTGGATGCAGGTCTGCCAGTTGTGCTCTTGGGTCGTTGGGTTTGGAGAGCTGGAAAACGTAGAGGAAGGGCTGGTCTCAGGATTTGTCATGCTGGACGAGAGGGTACTCTGACCGACACTTGATGTCTCCACGCTGGGACTTAGAGTGGTGGATCTCAACGTCCCCTCCTGGATGTGGTCGTTATGGAAGAAAGGGAAGGGGATGAAACATGGCTTGTGCTTGGGTGCTCAGCAGTCGGAGAAGCAGTGCTCAGCAACTCTGAGCTTCCATTGGTGACCACTCGAGTGCCAGTGATTACTGAGGAAGTGATGGATACTGTAGTTGTTTTCCGAGTTTCAAGTGCAGAAGTGCTAGAGGCACTGGATGTTGTAGGAAGTGAGGTCTCCTGGGTTGATCTTGGTCTCTGACTGGAAGACGCAGAAAAGGTTGAGGGAGAAGACACCACAGTCCTCTGTGACTCTTCCAAGGTAGGAGCTTGAGAAGGCGTTGTGACTTGTGACTGAATGGAAGTCGCCTCCGGTGTGCTGGGACTGGATGCAGGTCTGCCAATTGTGCTCTTGGGTCGTTGGGTTTGGGAGCTGGAAAACGTAGAGGAAGGGCTGGTCTCAGGATTTGTTGTCCTGGACGAGAGGACTACTGTGCACGACACTTGATGTCTCCATGCTGGGACTTAGAGTGGTGGATCTCAACGTCCCCTCCTGGGATGTGGTCGTTATGGAGAAAGGGAAGGGGATGCAACGTGGCTTGTGTTTTGGTGCTCAGCAGTCGGAGAAGCAGTGCTCAGCAACTCTGAGCTTCCATTGGTGACCACTCGAGTGCCAGTGATTACTGAGGAAGTGATGGATACTGTAGTTGTTTTCCGAGTTTCAGGTGCAGAAGTGCTAGAGGCACTGGATGTCATAGGAAGTGAGGTCTCCTGGGTTAATCTTGGTCTCCGACTGGAAGACACAGAAAAGGTTGAGGGAGAAGACACCACAGTCCTCTGTGACTCTTCCGAGATAGGAGCTTGAGAAGGCGTTGTGACTTGTGACTGAATGGAAGTCGCCTCCGGTGTGCTGGGACTGGATGCAGGTCTGCCAGTTGTGCTCTTGGGTCGTTGGGTTTGGGAGCTGGAAAACGTAGAGGAAGGGCTGGTCTCAGGATTTGTCATGCTGGACGAGAGGGTACTCTGACCGACACTTGATGTCTCCACGCTGGGACTTAGAGTGGTGGATCTCAATGTCCCCTCCTGGGATGTGGTCGTTATGGAAGAAAGGGAAGGGGAAGGGGATGAAAACATGGCTTGTGCTTGGTTGCTCAGCAGTCGGAGAAGCAGTGCTCAGCAACTCTGAGCTTCCATTGGTGACCACTCGAGTGCCAGTGATTACTGAGGAAGTGATGGACACTGTAGTTGTTTTCCGAGTTTCAAGTGCAGAAGTGCTAGAGGCACTGGATGTTGTAGGAAGTGAGGTCTCCTGGGTTGATCTTGGTCTCTGACTGGAAGACGCAGAAAAGGTTGAGGGAGAAGAGACCACAGTCCTCTGTGACTCTTCCGAGATAGGAGCTTGAGAAGGCGTTGTGACTTGTGACTGAATGGAAGTCGCCTCCGGTGTGCTGGGACTGGATGCAGGTCTGCCAGTTGTGCTCTTGGGTCGTTGGGTTTGGGAGCTGGAAAACGTAGAGGAAGGGCTGGTCTCAGGATTTGTTGTCCTGGACGAGAGGACTACTGTGCACGACACTTGATGTCTCCATGCTGGGACTTAGAGTGGTGGATCTCAACGGTCCCCTCCTGGGATGTGGTCGTTATGGAAGAAAAGGAAGGGGATGAAACGTGGCTTGTGCTTGAGTGCTCAGCAGTTGGAGAAGCAGTGCTCGGCAACTCTGAGCTTCCATTGGTGACCACTCGAGTGCCAGTGATTACTGAGGAACTGATGGACACTGTCGTTGTTTTCCGAGTTTCAGGTGCAGAAGTGCTAGAGGCACTGGATGTCATAGGAAGTGAGGTCTCCTGGGTTAATCTTGGTCTCTGACTGGAAGACACAGAAAAGGTTGAGGGAGAAGACACCACAGTCCTCTGTGATTCTTCCAAGGTAGGAGCTTGAGAAGGCGTTGTGACTTGTGACTGAGTGGAAGTCGCCTCTGCTGCGCTGGGACTGGATGCAGGTCTGCCAGTTGTGCTCTTGTATCCGTCGGTTTTGAAGGTGGAAAATGTGTAGGAAGGGCTGGTCTCCGGATTTGTCATGCTGGACGAGAGGGTACTCTGACCGACACTTGATGGCTGCACGCTGGGACTTAGAGTGGTGGATCTCAAAGTCCCCTCCTGGGATGTGGTCATTATGGGAGAAAGGGAAGGGGATGAAAATGTCCTCTGTGACTCTTCTGAGGTAGGAGCTTGAGAAGCCGTTGTGAATTGAAACTGATTGGAAGTCGCCTCTGGTGTGCTGGGACTGGATGCAGTTCTGCCATTTGTGCTCTTGGATCCGTGGCTTTGGGAGGTGGAAAAGGTGGAGGAATGGCCAGTCTCCAAAGTTGTTGTGTTCGTAGTTGAGGTGGTGTCTGAGGTAGATCTCTCTGTAATTAATTTAAACCATATGTATGTGTCAAAGATAGAATAGGATCAAGAGTTCAAAACCACAATAAAAGATATTTGTTTCTTTTAAACCATCTTGTTAAATCTTTTCTGAAATGCCATGAATGGCGGATTTCTCAGCCCTGTCTGGCTCCAGAGCAGTCAGGACTGGTATTTTGGGACAGGCAGAGTGCCAGTGTGAGTAATGGACTCTTCAGCCTCTTGGGCCAAAGACAGTCCTTAGCCCGGCTTCCTGTCTCCTGCCAGACTTGGAAAATGACACCATCAGTGGCTGTATGCTTTCCCACATGTTATGAATGATGGTGATGGAGTGGTCATTTATCAAGTGTTGTGGTATTTAATGCAGGTGATAGTGGATTAAGAAGATTTCACATAAATACATTTTTTGCTAAAAAGGGAGGGAAATCAAATGCCAAGATATGGCAGGAGGAGGGAGTGTCCTGGGCTTGGCAGTATGATCCCCCCAAAAAGTTTTGCATAGTCCAGCAGCTTTAGGTCTGGATCCCAGGAGGGCAATTCCTATGCCATGTTAGGAGAATAACTGAACAGTGAGCCCAGCTTGGCAGGGAGGCCAAGGACCCCCACACTGAGACTCCTGCCAAGAACCTGTTGAAGGGGGGCAGGACGTGTTTGGCTCTTGGGAAAGGGCTGCATTCCATGTCCCCAGGACCCGTTTCACTCTCTGTGAACCTATCGGCAAAGGGAAGATAGACGTGCCCCACAGGGTCTGATCTGCTGCTCAGGCCATGAGCCCAAAGGAGCTGCCCTCTCTTGAAGCTGAGCCCCTTCCATATGAGGAAGCATCTGCACACTTTCCTGAGAGCCCAAGGAACCCCTCCCCACATTTTTTTAAAAAAAATTCCCTTTACAATAAACATTTCATCATTCATTAATCAGTGTGTCATCTGAGTACAATTTTTTGTTTCATAATAGTTATAGCTTACTATTGAATTCTTTATAGGCATCTATTCTTATTTTAACATTACAACTTAACTAAATTATTTAATTTTATCTTCCTAAATCTTCCTAAATTTTATCTTCCTAAATTATTTAATTTTATCCTTTTTTCCATATTCATTTTCTAACTAATGATAACCCCATATCAGTGGTGGGTTGCTCCCGGTTCTATAGAACTGGTAGTAAAATTGGTGGGAGGCTCTGCCCACTCCCCCAGATGTCATAAATGACTATCTGCACATGCGCAGAAGCTTCTGTGCGTGTGCAAAAGTGCACACACGAGCGAAGCAAGCACTCACACGCGGCTCCGTTGCGAACCGATAATAAAGGTAAGTAGAACCCACCCCTGCCCAATATATTATAATAATCAGATTCTTCCTTCCCTTTAATTGCTAGTGTTAATCTACTCATTTCTGCACAATCTAATATTTTCTTAATCACCTTTTCATCTTTAGGGATTTGTTCAATTTTCCAATTTTGTGCAAATACAATTCTAGCCACAGTTAATAGATGAATAATCAAATATGCATTTTCTTTACTATATTTCCCTGGTAAGATACCCAACAAGAACAATTCAGGTTTTAAATCAATATGTTGCTGCGTCATCTTCTCCAACCACATTCAAATTCTTGCCCAATATTTTTTCGCTTCTATACATGTCCACCACATATGATAATACAACCCCGGTGTTTGGTGGCATTTCCAATATTTAGTTGATTTGTCTTTAAACATTTTTGCCAATCTTTCAGGTGACATGTGTCATCTATAAAACATTTTATACAAATTCTCTTTATATGCAGTTGCCATTGTTAATTTATAATTTCATTCCCATAGTTGCTGCCATTTATCTAACTCTATCAAGTATCCAAAAATTTTTACCCCCGCTACCATTGTTTCTTTTACCTGTTCTTCTTCTAGTTTAACTCACAGTAAATAACTATACAATTTTTTAATCATTTGCTCTTCTGTTCCTGTATCTCATCCAATTCTGTCATCTCCATATAAAAACGATATAATTTAGCATCTTTTTCATATCTAGATAGTATCTGCAATTGTGTGTACCAAGCCATGTCAATCCCTTGTTCTTCTAATTCTTGTTTCTTTTTAAGAAAGATATTAAAAGATATTTCTGTCAAAATATCTTTATATCTAACTATACTGTATTTCCCATATTAATAATATTTGAATGTGTTAACACTTCCATTGTCGAAAGCCAAGCTGGTATCTTCAAATAGTGTTTTTCTCTAACTTTCTCCCATACTACTAATAAAGCATTTCTTATATAATGTCTTTGAAAATAACCATATATCTTGTTTTTCCCATACCGTCAAAAGGCATGCCAACCCAACTGTAAATCATGTCCCTCCAATGTTATTTCTTTTTTTTTTAATTGAAAAGTTTTATAAGAAATACAAACATTTTCTCCCCCCACCCTTTTCCCCTCCCCTCCTTCCCCCCCACCCCCCTCCCTAGACTTCCCAGAACAGGCACAGGGTATAGCATTCACAAACATAAAGCTAAAATATGCTAACAAATTATTGCATTCATATTCTCCCTAACTCTTTAACTCCTTATAACTCAAAAACTATAAACAAAAACTACTTAAAAATATTTCATTCATAAGCTATATGAATCTTCTTATTCGGATACTTTTTTTGCATATAGTCAATCCATCTTCTCCATTCTGATATGTATCTTTCATTCGAATGATCTTTAAGATTTGATGAAATTTTTGCCATCTCTGCCAGATGCACAACTTTTAAAGTCCATTCCTCAATGGTAGGTGGATCTTCCTTCTTCCAGTACTGTGCCACCAGTAATCTGGCAGCTGTTATTAAATTCAAAACCAACTTAGTCTCTATTACAGTACAATCCGAGACTATTCCCAACAAAAAAAACTGTGGCGTAAATTTAATTTTTTTCCTTAAAATATTTTGAATAATCCACCATATTTTTATCCAAAAAGCCTTAATTTTTTTACATGTCCACCATATATGAAAATATGTAGCATCTTCACATTCACATCGCCAACACTTGGGTTGTAAATTTGGATACATGCAGGCTAATTTTTTTGGGTCTAGATGCCATCTATAAAACATTTTGTAAAAATTCTCTCTTAAATTTTGAGCTTGTGTGAATCTTACATTTCTGACCCATATCTTTTCCCATGTATCCAACATTATTGGTTCACCTATATTTTGTGCCCGTTTTATCATACAATCCTTGACTAGCTCTGTTTCCGAATCTATTTCCACTAATACATTATACAACCTTTTAATATGCATTTGACCTTTATCTCTTATTTGCTTTATCAAATTTTCATCCTGCTGCAAAATACCAATTTTTTGATCCTCTCTCCATCTGGCCTGCAGCTGACCATATTGAAACCAAGTCTTAATAATTCCTTCTTCTCTTAATTGCTCCATAGATTTTAATTGTAATCTAACTCCTTCCTTATAAAGGAGTTCATTATATGTAAACTTATCTTGCTTTTGCTCCAAATTTATATTCTCTATCGCGTGTCTGGGTACTGTCCATATTGGTAACTTATCCTTTAGTTTATATTGATACTTTTTCCAGACACGCAGTAGAGCATTTCTTAATATGTGACTTTTAAAAGTCTTATCTACTTTCTTGTCATACAATAGATAAGCATGCCAGCCGTAGACCAGACCGTATCCTTCAATATTCAGTATCTTTTCCTTTGTTAAATTTATCCAATCTGTAATTGCTGAGAGGGTAGCAGCTTCGTAATACAGTCTTAAATTGGGCATTTTAAGACCACCTCTTTCTCAGGTGTCTTGCATTATCTTTTGATTAACTCATGGTTTCTTCCCTGCCCACACAAACTTGTTTATGTCCTTCTGCCATTCCTTCAAATTTTCATCTTTTTTAAGTATAGGTATCATTTGAAAAAGAAATAAGAATCTTGGTAAGATATTCATTTTTACAGTGGCTATCCTACCCAGCAAAGACAGTTGCAATTTCTTCCAATTTTCCATCTCTTTCTGTATTTTTTGCCATAACGGTTCATAATTATATTGATATCATTTTGTATTTGGTACCTAATCTTGCATTTATCAAATATTTTTGATCTTGTATCCTAATATGAGTCTCTTGTAAACAAATTACTTCATTCTTAAATTGTTTAAGATAGTGAAATATTTTCCTTCTCTTCTGTGGAGAATTCAAACCATTAACATTCCAGGTCAAAAATCTAGTTCCCATCTCTGGGCCTCTGAAGCGTCTGGAGCAATTTCTGATGGTCTTGCCTCATTTGACCTTTAGGTCTTGCTCCTCCCACAGCTTCTATTTTGGTAGTTTCTTGGGTTGCTATCTGCAGTTGTTGTTGTTGTTGTTGTTGTTGTTGTTGTTGTTGCTGTCTTAATTCTTCCTTATGCTTAGCTATTGCTGCTCTGGTCTGTCTTTGATCCTTCGGTTCTTCAAATCTATCAATTAAATCCACATCTTGAACAGCCATCTGAATTTGTAGTGATTCTTCTTGACCAGTCAAAACTCCCCCCTGAACTACTGTCAATAGCTCTTGTCTCTCTCCTTGCATTACTTCCTTCTTTCTTTTTCCTTCTGGTGATTTGGGTGATTTGGGTGTCCCAGTCTTTAATACATTGATGTAAAAATCTCTTGCTTTCCATATTGTATTAAGCCAATATCTCTCTCCAGAATATGTCACCACTAAACCGACTGGGACCTCCCATCTGTAGTGTAATTGACGTTTTTTCAGCTCATCCACCAGAAAAGCATACTCCCTTCTAGCTCTCAACATCTGGGGGGGATTTCTTTCATTGTCATCACCTCCTGGCCTTCAACCTGAAGCTTGTTTTTAAAAGTAGCCTGTAAAATTTCATTGCGTACTCTCCTTGTAGTAAAAGGAGAGCCTTGGTAGTACAGTGGTCTAAGGCATCCTGTTATTAAGCTGGTTATTAAGACCAGCTGCCTGCAATTACTGCAGGTTCAAATCTCGCCAAGGCTCAAGGTTGACTCAGCCTTCCATCCTTTCTAAGGTAGGTAAAACAATGTCTCTTGGTAAGTGTTTCTGTCTGGCCACCCAAGAATTAACACAATATGCCTTGTCAATCTGCCAGCCCAGCTCAGTTTTCGTCTCCCCCAGCAACTGTGCCAATGCCTCTGACATCATTTCTTTCAAGTTCTCTTGTTTATTCTCCTTCACCCCTCTGAATCTTAAAGCAAATTCCATATCTCTATATTGTAACATGGTTACATCAACTTCAGCTCTCTCAAGTCTGCTGTGAGTCTCTCCCAATTTATTGTCCAAAATTTCCGTACATTTCTTAATTTCTTCAACTTTATCATCCACCATTTCAATATCACCTGCCAAACAATTAAATGCCAATAATATATCATCTCTGATTTGCTAATTCCGAATTAAAATCTCATCTGAAACAGCCTGTATTTTTTCATTAGTTTCATTAGTTTTTTCCTTAGTTTCATTATTTTTTTTCATTAATCACAGTAGCAATTTTATTTTGTGTGGCTTGTAGGGCTTCTTGTATCATCTCAAACATTAAAGTCTGTGGGTCTGTTAGAGGGGCAGAGGCTTGCAATCTAGGAGTATGAGCTGGGGAGCTTCCAGCGCTCCCAGTTCCTTTAATAGGAACAGTCTTTACAGATTTTGAGGCCATTTTCAGTTTAAATTGATCATTGTATTTTATTCAGAAGCCAAAAAGAAAAGTTCATCAAAGTCAAAGAATTTTCCCAATCATAAATTAATGTTTAAAATCCTCCTTCTCTCAACACAACAGTTCTTTCCAGGCAAGAGGCTACCAGGGAAATGAAACTTTCTGTAACTTTCCCTTTCTCCGCCCTTCCCTTTCAAGTTTCAATTGCCATTTTGTTGCAAATTGCTAACTTCTTATTTCCGAAGGAGGCTATAAACTTTGGAGTTAAGTGTAAATACTTGCAGTCTGACTTCTCCTGGCTTGTTCTGCCTGCAGCAATTAAAGATGTTAAAAATCCCCTCATTTGTTGTCAGCAGAGATGGTTGCGGCTTTTAGCTCTGCTAAATAGCGGAGTCTTCCCAGGTCCGGAGCAGATTGGCAGACTTCTAGGGAGCCCTCGCCCTTCGCACCCCAAGATTTCTCCTAGGGCACTAGGGGGGCTCTATCTCCACCTGCCAGCTCTTCTCTCTCCCCTTTGCCCGGGGAGAGGGTTTCCAAGCCCCAGACAGCTGTTTTTCGGCTGTTCTGGGGCTTTTACGGTACCGGGGATCGGGCGCCCACGGAGGAGCGTCAGCAAAGTCCTTGGAGCCAACCGGAAGTCATGTCCCTCCAATGTTAATAACTAAGGAACCCCTCCCCACTTCAATGTGCCTCCGTTCAACTCAAGGGAGACCTGAATTTTTGACTTTCTCTCTGGAAGAGGTTCACATGCAATTCAGGGGTATACTGAACAGCTTCAGTTTCACCTCAAACTTCACCAGTGAAAGGGTCTCTTCTGGCAGACCCAGCAGGGCTACCTCTTAGAAATAAGCCAAAATGGGGAAAGAGGGCGAACACCTGACCACTTTCTCTGCCAAACATAAGCCTTGAATGAACATTGAGGGGGGGGGTATCGTGATGATGGGGGGCAATGGAAAGTGGTTTCCTTCTGCCAGAAGGCGTGGCATTGACTTCTACACTAGTCACAGGGCCACCAGCTTTCCAATAGGTGCTAGAATGCAGTGTTTTCAATATTAAGCAAAAATCAAGAATGTATCATGGGAGCATAACCTGAAACTAACAGGAGGGAAGTTCAAAAGTCATGTCAAAAAAGATTTTTACAGATTATTACAGATTAACAGAGTTGGAAGCGACCTTGTAAATCATCTAATCCAACCTCCCGGCCGAGCAGGACTCCTTACACCATTTCTGATGAATGACAGACCAATCTCTTCTTGAAAGTCTCAAGTGATGAAGCTCCCACAACATCCGAAGGGAACTTCTGTTCCATTGACTGATTGTTCTCACTGTCAGAAAATTTTTCCTTATTTCCAGGTTAAATCTCCCCTTGTTCAGTTTCCATCCATTATTCCTTGTCTGGCCTACAGGTGCTTTAGAAAATAGCTTGACCCCTTCCTTTCTGTGGCAGCCCCTCAAATATTGGAACATCTCCCCTGGTCCTTCTCTTCCCTACACCAGCCAGGCCCAGTTCCTGCAACCGTTCTTTATATGTTTTAGCCTCCAGTCCCCTCATCATCCTGGTTGGTCTTCTCTGCACTCTTTCTAGAGTCTCAACGTCTTCTTTATAGTGTGGTGACCAAACTGGATGCAGGATTCCAGGTATGGTCTTACTAAGGCTTTATGGAGTGATATTAGTACCTCACTTAATCTTGATTGTATCCCTCTGTTAATGCAATTTAGGATTGCATTGGCTTTTTTGGCTGCCACTGCACACTGCTGGCTCATATTTAGCTGGTTGTCCACTAAGACTACAAGATCCCTCTCACAGTTACTGCTATTAAGCCTGGTTTCACCCAGTCTGTATGTGTACTTTTGGTTTTTCTTGCCTAAGTGTAGGACTTTACTTTTCTCTACATTGAATTTCATTTTGTTATGACTTCACTGAAGTCATAACAAAATGACTTCACAGAAAGAGTAGCGGAGACTTCGAACCAACTTCCAGCAGAGAGAGTTGGTCGATCCTCAGTAACTGAGTTTAAACATGCCTGGGATAGAGACATGTCTATCGTCCAACAAAAATTAAAAAATAAAATAAAATAAATAAATAAATATAATCATTAAAAATAATAAAGAAAAAGAAAAGAAAAACATAAAAAACTCAAAAGGGCAGACTCGGTGGATTCCTGGGTCTTTTTCTGCCATCAGTTTTCTTGTTTCTAAAAAAGAAATGCAAAAGGCTGGCAGAGACAGTGGCTTTCCGGCAGGTGCCTATTCACTGCACCAGGGGTGAGCCGGGGCCCTTGGCCCTTGGCAGGAATGCCAGGGTGGGGAAGGGTCTGCCCAAGGCACAGAATCCCCTTCCGACTGTCCCGAAGTCCTGGCTAGCCTCCGGCAGAAGGAGGGAATCAGCAGCTGCCCTTGTGGCATGGGAGCCATGGTCCACGGTGGGGGCAAAAGGTCAGGAGTCGGGAACACATTTTCCAGCTAAAACATTTAATCCAAAGGCAAAAGTTTTCAGAGCTGCCTCTGCCTTTTGATAGCAGGTGTTAGCGAAGAAGGTGCTATCAGCTTCCTCCTGATTTGGGAGTCTGCTTTGAATGACTTTTTCATCCCAGGCTGTCAGCTCCCTTCCGGTCCTTTGCCAAAGATACCTTCCCTTCCAGGGCATGGAGCACCCGGTCTTTCCCTGGACTTCAGCGGGAAGCCCGGCTGGCATGCTGGAGGGAGGTCCAGAAGGCCACCAAGCATGCCAGCTAGGCTCCCCGTTGAATTCCAGGGAAAGACCGTCCACCCTGACTGGGGGCTCCAGCCCCCCCAGGGATGTTTGGGGAAAGGGAAGTGAGCAGAGAAAGAGAAAAGGACAAGCGATTGGAATTCGTGTTGCCCCTGACTCCCCTTCCTTTCCACCCTTGCTAGCAGCCTGGCTTTCAGCCTGTCCTCCTCAACAGCCAGCGGAAGGAGCTGACCTCCCTGGTGTAGCCTCTGAATAAGAGGGGGACACAAGAAGCCCCACAGCCAGACCCCAGAATGGTTGAATGAACGGGTGGGTCTCCTTCAGGGCAGGGGGCAGCAGGCCCCCCTGGGCTCCTCCAGAGAACCAGCAAACGTGTCCTCCCCTCTTCCCCAAATCCTTACTCGCAGCGCTGATCAGGAGCAGTGCCCCCCAGAAGCAGAGGACTGCGGGATGCACCCCCATTCTCCTGGCATTGGTCCGTCCAGGCAGAGAGCCACGGGGAGAGGGCAGGTCCAGGCACTTCCCAACCAAGGAACAAGGAAGAAGCACAGCCTTTCTTGCTGCTCAGCACCCGGGCAGGATTGAAGCCCAGGACGCCAAACAAAGATTGCCAGAGGGAGTGGCGACACTCAGCAATGCCACCCCAGCCTTCGATGCTGAGTGGGCAAGGCTTGGCACACCCAGAGGGCAGCATCGATGCCAGCCCTGCCATACAGGGGAACCCTGGCAAACGGTGGGCTGGCCTTCGGAGAAGCGGGTTTGGCCAAGGAATCACGGGGCAAAGGCAGAGGGTCAGTTGCTTCTGACAGGCGTGTGGCATGAGTTAGCCCGCCCAGGGTAAATAACCTCGACAAAGGACACTGGGCAAATATTTGCTGGTAAACCTGTGAGCCCAGCTGGGCACTCCCAGAAACCTGGAAGTAGCAGAGAGGGAACGAAGAGGTGGGGATGGGGGTTAGAGGAGAGCAGGGCTCTTGAGACAGGTGAGTCTTCAGAAACCAGGAGAAGGAAAAGCAAAAGATCAGGCCAGCCGTTCCCACCAGCTGGTTGCAAAAGCCCAGCGCCAGCCCCAACCTCTCGGCCCCTGAAGAGGAGCCCCAGCCGGGGTCCTTTGACTTTGACTTTGACTTTTATTAGACTTCTATACCGCCCTTCTCCCGAAGGACTCAGAGCGGTGTACAGCCATATTAAAACACAGATAAATTACAAAATTTAAAAAAACCATTAAAATCGAATATACAAAAATTTGGCCCACAAATTAAAACTAACATACACCCATTTAAAATTCATATTCATGTTAGGCCAGCCTGGCTTTTTGAAATAAAAGGGTCTTCAAGGAGCGGCGAAAGGTGCGCAGGTCGGGGATCATACGCACATCTAGAGGCAGTTCATTCCAGAGGGCTGGTGCCCCCACAGAGAAGGCTCTCCCCCTGGGTGTCGCCAGTCAACATTGTTTGGCCAACGGCACCCTGAGGAGCCGCTCTCTGTGGGAGCGAGTTGGCCAGTGGGAGGCTGTCGATGGCAGAAGGCGGTCTCGTAAATACCCCGGTCCTAAGCCATGGAGCGCTTTGAAGGTGGTAACCAACACCTTGAATCGCACCCGGAAGACCACTGGCAGCCAGTGCAGCTCGCACAGGAGAGGTGTCACGTGGGTGTGACGAGTCGCCCCCATAATCACCCGTGCGGCTGCATTCTGGACCAGTTGGAGCCTCCGAGTGCTCTTCAAGGGGAGCCCCATGTAGAGAGCGTTGCAGTAGTCCAGACGGGATGGGATGAGGGCATGAGTGACCGTGCGCAGGGCATCCTGGTCCAGAAAGGGACACAACTGGCATATCAGGCGAACCTGAGAAAAAGCTCCCCTGGCCACGGCCATCATATGCTCTTCCAAAGACAGCCATGCATCCAGGAGAACACCCAAGTTGCAAGCCCTCTCTGAGGGGGCCAAGATCTCATCCCCAATAGTCAGCGATGGAGCCAACTGACTATACCGGGACGCCAGGAACCACAGCCACTTGGTCTTGGAAGGGTTGAGTCTGAGCCTGTTCCTCCCCATCAAGATCCGCACAGCCTCCAGGCACCGGGACATCACATCAAGGGCACCATTGGGATGGTCTGGGGTGGAGATGTATAGCTGAGTGTCGTCAGCGTACTGATGGAACCTCACCCCGAAACCACGGATGATCTCGCTTCACATAAATGTTGAACAGAAGGGGCGAGAGGACCGACCCTTGCGGCACCCCACAAACAAGGCGCCTCGAGATCAACCTGTCCCCCTGCCAACACAAACTGCGTACGGTCGGAGAGGAAGGAGAAGAATCACCGCAACACAGTGCCCCCCACTCCCAACCCCTCCAATCGTTGCAGCATGATACCATGGTCGATGGTATCAAAAGCCGCTGAGAGGTCTAATAGGACCAGGGCAGAGGAACAACCCCTGTCCCGAGCCCTTCAGAGATTATCAACCAATGCGACCAATGCCGTTTCCGTACTGTACCCCGGCCTGAAGCCCAACTTGAACGGGTCTAGATAATCAGCTTCATCCAGGTACTGGGGAAGTTGTCGCGTCACCACACTCTCAACAACCTTCACAACAAAGCGAAGGTTGGAGACTGGACGATAGTTCGCTAATACAGCCGGGTCCAGGGAAGGCTTCTTGAGGAGGGGCTTCACCACCGCCTCTTTCAAAGAGGGAGGGAAGAAACCCTCACTCAAAGAAGCATTAATTTGCAGGGCAGTGGAGATGGAACATTGAATCCTAGGGCCGGAAGGGACCTTAGAGGTCTTCTAGTCCAACCCCTGCTTGAGCAGAAGATCTTACACACCATTCCAGACAACCCCTTCTTCCAGTGATGGAGCACCCACAGGTTCTGGAGGAAGCCGTTGCACCGGTTCATGGTTCTCACTGTGGGGGAATGGGAAGGGCAGGGGGCCCAGGGGCATCTTGCCCCCCCCTTGCTGGCTCTGAGGAAAAGGCAGAGCAACCCAAGGAGCTCTGGGCCCCTAGCAAGAGCAGCCCAGTTCAGCCCGTCCCGCAACTCCCTTTGCCTCGCAAGTCATCTCCGGTTGTGCCAGGAAAGGCACCTGGTCTGCTGCTGCAGCAGAGGCTCATCGTGGATCGCTGTCCTCCTTTCTCTGCGGGAAACCCACCCGGCCTTTGCTGCTGGGCCCGGCATGAAGGGGCAGCGGGGCAGCTTGGTGCCCGAAACAGACTGCGGAAGTGGAGGGGACAGGGTGGCAGGAGGGTGCGCCTGTGCATATGCAGCACCATAACTCTCCCGCAACCATTCCCCGGAAAGGCCACTGTGAGCCTCGGTCGCTTTCTGGAGTCGCCCTGCTCTTGCGGACGGAAGGCCAGCAGCACGAGCAGGGAGGGCTCCTCCTGTGTGCTGCTGCCTAAGGGGAGCCACCGGGATGCTGTGCTGCTCTCAGCCGCCTCAGGAAGCTCCGACCTGACAGGGGAGGGGCTCGTGGCCGGGGTGGGGGCGGGGCGGGACAGGAAGGGGCAGAGCCCCAAGTGCTACAAACTAGGGCAGCCCGGTTGGGGTCGAAATACCTTTGGCCCCTCCCAGCCTCCTCTTCCACAGGGAGAGGCCCCGGGAACCCCACCTCATGGACCCATCACCCTCTAGACAGCCCCCTCCCATCTTTTGTGGCAAAGAGATGCAAATCAGCCCTTGTCTTAGGCACTTTGGACAGGGGCGTCAGCCGAGGAGGCCACAAAAGAAAGAGAGGAGGGGAGGGGCCCGACTGGGGCGTCTGCTTCATCAGGAAGGGCTGAACCATGGCTATTCTCCCACCCTTAAAACGGTGGTGGGTTGCTCCCGGTTCGCACTGGTTCGCAAGAACCGGTAGTAAAAAATGTAATAGTTCGGAGAACCGATAATAAGATTGGCTGGCCATGCCCCCGAACCAGTTCCCGGCCTGGTCCCCGGTCGCTTACCCCGCCCATTCCCAATCTATTGCTGCCTCCTGAGTCCCGGCTGATGGCTAGAGGAAAGAAACTGTTTAAACTCTTGCCACGGGGCTTCAAAGGGCCGCCCTACAGCTGATCAGTGTTAAAAGAAAACAAATGAGTAGACCGGTGCCTGCAAAAATAGAAAAAACAGCCCCTTTCAGCTTCAGCATAGGTTAATTAGCACAAGTTGATTAGATCGGCCTCCCGACTCTCAGCTGATTTGCTCTCAGCTGTTTTGCCCAGGGCTCTGTTGCTAGCTGCAAAGAGTGCTGGAGCAGATTTTTTCCCCCTAGCTATGCTGAAAAAACGAAACTGAAAGTAAAGCAGGTTCTTTGCAACGTGACAAAATGAGGCAGAGAGAGATTTCTTTTTCTTTTTCCTCACCAAAAAAGGTAGGTGCAAACAATGGGAAATTTTGGGCAAAAGAGGAGAGTTCAAGATTTTAAAACATAAAAGAAAAAAAGCTGTATTTAACTAGGGAATTGTGTTAATTGAGATACTATTAATTGTATATTGTGTTGAAAGCGGAAATGGTTAAGTTGTGGTTTGGAGGAATATATGGGGGAAATTATTTGGTTTATTATTATTGGTAAATATAATTAATTGATTTGTAATGATTGCATGGAAATAATTGGAATATTCATGTTCATATTGATTAATATACAAAAAAGATAGTTATATAACTAATTGATTTATATTAAAATGTTGAATTTGTATTAAACAACTGTAATATTACATAATTAACCAATGTGAGGATGGATATAAAAATAGATGACAATGGGAAGGGGTATAATATAGAATAGAAGGGAAAAATTGAATTTGATTAAGATTAGAGATGAGGATGAAGGGTAATATTGGTTTTTTTAAAAAATAGATGAGGAATAAATATGGCAAAAAGGAAATATAGAAATTGTAAATTTAATTGAAATGACTAAACACTGTTTAAATTTGTGAACCTGCCAAATACTCTGTTCAAAGAAAATACATTGTATGTTTGTATGTGTGTTTCTAATTATTGCTATTTATTTATTTATTTATTTATTTATTTTATTTGTTTAAATTTCTATACCGCCCTTCTCCAATATAGGACTCAGGGCGGTGAACAGCCAAAATAAATACAAGACATATATATAAAACATACAAAATCTAAAAACTGATTAAAATAATTAAATCTTTTGGCCGTAATTAAAACAATTCCAATTTAAAATCAGTTTAAAATTTGACTCAAGCCAGCCCCGCTAGTTGAAATAAATGGGTTTATTTCATGAATTTATGGAATAAATTTATTCATATTTGTTCTCTTTTATTCTTTAAAGTTTAACAATTCATTCTTTATCTTAATATCTTTATATTTGTTTGGGATTGGCTTTCTTCCCTTTCATCTTTTTTATTGTACAGAAATCTTTCTCCTCAAACCTACCACCTCTCTCTTTTCTTTCCTTCTTACTTTCCCTTCCCTCCCTCTTCTTCTCCTCCCTACTTCCTCTTCCTTTCTCCTTCTCCTCCTCTCTTCCTCCCTCTCTTACCCTCACTCCTACTCTAATTTCCCTTCCTTTCCTTCCTCCCTTCTCTTCCTTCCCTCTCTCTCCTTCCTTCTTCCATCTCTCTTCTCCTTCCTTCATCCCT